TCACAGTCTCCAGGGCCCTGCTCGTGTGTGTGTGTGTGTGTGTGTGTGTGTGTGTGTGTGAGCATGTGTGTGTGAACATCTCAAGTGAGCATGACTGGCTGAAGCTATCATCATACCACACTGCTATACTTCTAAAACTGTCTGTCACTGTCACAACACTTCACCCGTCACTTTTTTTACTATGGTTGTCACAGTACCAAGTCCATTACTGGAGCAATTTCAGAATGCTTATACACGTATTTCAATACCACTGCAAAAGCTAGTGTGCGACTGAACATGATTTATTCATAAGCTAAATTTAATATACAGGACATAATAACATTCAATTAATGGAATGACAAGTAGTTGAAGTAAACATTATGTACTTCTGTTTTTTTTTTTTTTTTTACAAGGAAGTGATAATGGTATACTTTTTCAAAAGTTGTGCTTTAAAATCTTTTTTTTAATGTTTTCAAACCCCTTGAAAATATATAAAATTACTAATAGTAGCATTCAAAGCTGCTTATTAGTTATTTTTGGTATTTATAAATGCACAAATACTAGTATTAATGTAGCAAACATTGACATATACCAGGTTTTTCCAGTTACTTAATATTGCCAGGAGCTAGCTCTCTGCAACTCTCACATGGTCACCCACTGAAGCTAAGCAGAAATTCCATATACCGTATGCCTCACAAAAGTAGCAGAACATTCTAGGAAATAATTCCTTATATGGATGAAGGCATCCAGCTGTTGCTGTAGTTGAATAAAAATAAGATCTGAATAAACAAAAAGGCTTTAACTGATCATTTACACGACTGTGACAATAAATGGTTTATACAGTTGAAGTCAGAATTATTAGCCCCTTTGAATTTTATTTTCTTTTTTAAATATTTCCCAAATGATGTTTAACAGAGCAAAGAAATGTTCACAGTATGTCTGATAATATTTTTTTTCTTCTGGAGAAAGTCTTATTTGTTTTATTTCAGCTAGAATAAAAGCATTTTTAATTTTTTTAAAAACCATTTTAAGGTCAATATCATTAGCTCCTTTAAGCTATATATTTTTTCAGATAGTCTACAGAATAAACCATCGTTATACAATAACTTACCTAATTACCCTAACCTGCCTAGTTAACCTAATTAACCTCAATTCATGGGGGCTAATAATTCTGACTTCACCCCATTGGGTAGATGGGGTCCAAAAATCAAGATAAGGTATGAAGTTTAGGCAGGACTTTTATAGTAGTTTTGGAATGATCTGAAAGGCTAGCAAATGATTAGCGATAAGGATCAGCTGTAGTCGGGGCTGGCGCGTCCATAGAGGCGACATAGGCGGCTGCCTAGGGCGGCAGTATAGAGAGGGCGGCGTCCGCAACACCTCCCTTACCACCCACATCCTCAGTTATATCCGCGACACCTCCCTCACCACCCGCGTGTCCTCAGTTAAATCCGCGCATAGGGCGACAGAATAGAGGTCCGCGTCACCCGCGCGTCCTCAGTTATGTCCGCGCAAAGGGCGGCAGAATAGAGAGAGCAGCGTCGGCAACACTTCCCTCCCTGCCTCCCTCCCTCAGCACCTCAGTTATATCCATGCATAGGGCGGCAGAATAGAGGTCCGTGACACCTCACTTCATTTTCATAACCGGTCACTTTCGTTTTCACACATTGGGGTTGAGGGCGGCGTGATCGTCCTCTGCCTAGAGCGGCAGTTCAGCTTGCTCCGGCCCTGGCTGTAGTCGATCATATCACATGCTCTTCTTGAAATTAGTTTGTGAAACTTCACTTAAAATCATCCGCAATAGCTAAACATACATCAACCTAGCATCATTGCGCACTTATAGTATGCATTTTGACTTTGGATGTGGTTAAATGAGGACAAACTCAAAACATTTTAGACATAAAAAAACGCAGGTAGGTCAGACAGTCTCTTCCCTTTCTTGTGCAATTCTCCCAACAAGGACAAGACTTTATGCTAATGAGTGAAACTGTATTTTAGCTATCTTGTAATTTCATTTTCCATTGTCTTCTTCCTCCTCTTTTATCGATCAAATACAATACTGACTCGAGAGCATCAACAGTGTCCTCGGGTGACTCCGACAAAACCTCGTTTCACCTCCGAGGAGCTGTTTGCTTTGCATGTCAATCAGGTCTGCCTGAAATGACCCGGGGAGGAGACAGGAGGCAGCGGTCGTACCTCTCTCTGTGATCCGTCATCCTCCACAAACGTCTGCTTTACCTCTGTCTCAGGAGGGATTCATTATATGAACAGGCATTAGCAAACGCCCGCTGAGAGGTTTGCTCTCTGCAAATCTAATAAGCACTTACAGGCGAGCCAAAGCGGTGGAGGATCAAGGCTGAGGAAGGAAATGTGTTTTTTTTTAAAGAGTTTACATGAGTGACGCCACATAAATATTTCATTGGGGACGGCTGCGTGACATGATGTACAGCTGTGTGCGGGATAAAGGCGCTGCGCTTAAGACAGTGATTCATTGCGCTCATAATTGCCTGAGCTGCTGTTGTAGATGGAGTCGAGGATTTCTGCACGCTGACTGCGACATATTGCAGCAACAGGTCTGTGGCGTGTTTGCAGAATGGTGGTGATGCGGGAAAGGAGGTGTTCATGTTTGTTTGGGCTTGTTTAACTGTTTCGGTCTGTGGAAGTTATATAACTTAACCCAACGCGTTGGGTTATTTTAAATAAATGTTTTTTTTTCTCCATTCTGGTATTACTATTGCTATTGCTAGCTACTATTAATTTTAGAATTATGGCTGTGTAAATAAATAACGTGCAATTTTCAAAAATATTGAAAACGCTTTATTACATTTTAAGTTCCAGACACTTCAGCTCCAGACGTTTTTCTCCATTTAATAAAGATCGGCTGTGAAGCGCACGATTGTATCATTAATAATTAAAAATGCTGGTGAAACATATAAAAAACACTACACGGAAAGGTAATTTGATAAAAAAAAAAACATTATTGTGTTATAGCTTAAATAAACCTTATATCGCAAAAACATTAAGTACGCATATTAATACGGCTGTTCTGTGTCAGTTAAATAAGTTGACTGTTGAAATTCAAAACGTTTAACCCAACTGGTTGAGTTATTAAATCAATAACCCAATAAAGTTTAAAAATGAACCAACAAAGCACCAAATGATTAACCAGACTGGGGTGCGTTTCCCAAAACCATCGTTTGCCAACTAAGGTCGCAAGTTCCGTCGTTACAAACATAGTTTGTTGATTTGCCGTTTCCCAAATCCGTCGCTCCAACGAACATTCGCAAACTGCGTCGCAAACTTGAGCACTCACAACTACAGCTCTGGAGCTGTAGTTAGAAACACAGTTTCTGGCTGTGTTCTATTCCCACTTATCCCCCCTATGCCCTATTCATTTCGAACATTTTAACATTCAAATTTGGAATTATTAAAAATAAAAAAAGCATTAGGTTCATCTCTCTTAGGTGTAATTTGCTTCCAAACTATTTTTACCGTTCAGTTTTAGCAATCTTCATGTTTACATTTTTGCTCCATTCGCAGTGCACTTTGAAAACATTGATGTCATTTTGAACACAGCTTCATGGCGAAAGCTATAGGTGACCTATTATTTAAATGCAGAATTTATGTTACAGTACGTCTCCAAAGATGTGAAAACAAAAAGCATACGTTAATTCTTTTAATTTACAGTAGGATAATTATTAAGTATCAGTACTGTATGTGACATGGGCCTGCTGGTTAGAACTTTCTGCAGTGGTTTACATGTGTTAAATTGTAAAAGTAGACTTTTAAAAAAATAAATTAATAAATAAACAACATTCTACTTATTAATAATAATAATAATAATAATAATAATAATTATTATTATTATTATCATCCTCATCACAATCATCATTGATATTTTTATTGTTGTATGATTTTTTCATTTCTAATTAATAATAAATATTACATTTCATTTTATAATAAATAGCCTCATTATTTATTTATTTATATGATTTATATGATATTAGAATACGTGTTAGCTTTTAATGTTTTATAATAAAATATATAAAGTTCAACTTCTCAATAATATTAGTAAAGCAAACATAGGCCCTTTATGTGCCATTTACATATATTTTAATTAATATGGAAAGCGAGTGCATGTTTTTACCAGATCTAATACTGGATTTATTTTAAATGCTTGTGTGTGTAAAACAATATAATTTTCACAAAGAAGTTATGGGTTCTTCTCTAAAGAAGTAGTTAATCCACCCAGTTTAGAGCATCGTTATGGGCGTTTTATGTTATAACTAACGTGGTTCAAGCGATGGATCTGCGACAGAGAAACTAGGGGTTTCGGGAAACACTCGTCACTACTTCGTTCTTTTTCCAGTTCAGCCGCAAATTATGTTAGGTGTTTATTATAACACAGACAACATATACATATATTTTAAAAACTTTCAATAGTATTTTATGAAAATTAAAAAGGGTTTTCTTTAAAATTATACAATTTTTCTTGCATTTACAGCTCTACATGTGGATTTGGGAAGCTTTTAAATTTGGGTAGGCAAAATCCACGCGGGAATCCCAAAATAACAGCAGAGTTTAACTGGTAAATATGTGTCAAAAATTATTCCAATTGCTGAAACACAGAGAAAGTTGTGGCCAAATTAAGACTCAAAATCACCCCAGAGTGAATGAAAACATCCCCGACAGCACACAAGCATTAAAAAAAGAAATATATGAACAAGTAGAGAAAGAATAAAAACACTGTGGTTACCGCTGGTCTGCTATTATTGATGGAAAGTGATGCTAAATGTGGTTATGTAAGTTCCATGTCCATACAATATACATAATAGAAAAGATAAAATGATGCAGAGGCATGTTTTGCCACAGAATCCATGCAGAGAAATGACTGCCAAGGAACATAGGTGGCAGAGCTTAAGCGATGACTGTTAGCGGCGTACTGATGATGTAATGGATTGCAACGGGCACCCGGGCTTGCGCACTGACAGCTCTTCTTCTGCACTTGTCTCTCTCCACAGACTGTCTACAAACACTGGCTCTGTGCCCAGTTCTTCCATACCACACAGATGCACTGCAGCAACAGGATCCCCTGCAGGAAGTACTGCCTGGAGGTTCAGCAGAGGTGCCCCTTCATATTGCCTGACAATGATGAGCTCATCTATGGAGGAAGCCCCAGTTTTATATGCACAGGTGGGCAGCTTGACCTTTCCTTGTACAAATAAATCACCAGTGCTTTCCTCTCCTTCAGTGAACTGGAGCCATTAGCATGCCTCACTGCACTGTCAGTTAATCTCAGTCTTATCTGTCTGTCTGTCTGTTGTCTGTCTATCTATCAGCATTATTTTAATGTGTGTGTGTGTGTGTGTGTATATATATATATATATATATATATACACACACACACACACACACACACAGACGAGAGAGAGAGAGAGACAAGAGAGAGAGAGAGAGAGAAGAGAGAGAGAGAGTGAGTGTGGGGGGGGGCGCGCGCGTGGATAGCTCTCTCTGAGAGAGAGAAACACACGGGCGATATATATATATATATAGAGAGAGAGCTGCCCGTGTGTGTATATATATGTGTGTGTGTCTCTATATATATGTGTATGTGTGTGT